TAGTACTTTCCAGACCATCTGAAGATTGAGCAGCTCAAGCATTCTTTTAAGAGTGCCATCAGGTGCTCTATCCTGAAGCCATACATGTTTATTTCTCCTTCGTGTTGTGTAAGGAGTTCGAATATGGCTTGCATTGCGGAGTCATTCGACACGTTTGTATAAAGGGCGGTAACGTCGAAGGAATCCATCACACACGCGCACGCACGCGCTGTTGGGCTGCGCAGTACGTAGACAATCCAGAAACATCTGGGTATTCGTAAGATGGGCTGGAATGTGTTTCAACAACTGGTTAAATATTAGGGTTAAAAACCATGTTATCCTGTCCGTTGGCCCGTCTACACAGCTAATGATAGGTCTAACCTTAAATAGTGATGGATCGGTAGACAGAAGATCATCGCTGGATACTAACTTATGAGTTTTTATAAGTAAGTACAAGAATCCAGAAACATCTGGGTATTCGTAAGATGGGCTGGAATGTGTTTCAACAACTGGTTAAATATTAGGGTTAAAAACCATGTTATCCTGTCCGTTGGCCCGTCTACACAGCTAATGATAGGTCTAACCTTAAATAGTGATGGATCGGTAGACGGAAGATCATCGCTGGATACTAACTTATGAGTTTTTATAAGTAAGTACAAGACGAGGCATGTTGGTAAGTCAACTTTTAGTTGAGGGATAACTGATGATTTTAAACCAGCAGCCCTTGCCATTTTGGCCCATTCGTGGTTTAGTTTTCGGTATTTACTTTTGAATTCCTCCTCAGATGATGGGCGATAAAGCGAAGCATCTTCAAGATGCTTTTTCGTTATCTCCACATCTAACTGATGAGGAATTACGACAAACTCTCCACCCTTATCACTAACGGAAAGTCTTATGGTTTTCAACCTTATCAGGTCTCGTACCTCTCGCATACCACGTTCTTGCACTGGAGTGAGGTTTGAGCTGTATCTTTTCGCGCAATAGTGATTAAGGAGTTTGAGAGTTTCATTCGCAAACATCCGAAATTTAACATCAACTTCATTATTGGGCTCTTGCTGTCTAAAGTACGTTGGGGGAAATGGTGCTATTGGTAGGGCCCCCGTTTGACGTTGTTCGCACCTATTTAGCGCTTCATCTCTAGCTTTTTTGCGGAGTCTATCTTGAAGTTCATGTAAAAACGAAAAAAAAGCGTCAAAAAAACCGAAACGAAACCCCGAAACGTCAGCTTAATCGTGAACAAAGAATAATAACACCTCGCGTTTGCTCAAAAAAAAATACGAACAAAATCACTTGATCAATGCCGAGGTTAGTAGAAAGTCGGTCGTGGCAGTTTCCCTATAGTCTTCTCATCTTGATTACTGCACTTTTTATGCTCTTCTTCATTATCAGCCTATTTCCAAGCCGTACTTAAGGCTTGAAATCTGTTGTAAATCTATTCCGTTTATGTTCTATTGCTGTGTAAGTTGGCCTCGCCATCCTTACCTAATAATGTACGTATATGTTTCTTGTCGGCCATACTATTTCACTGATACACTGCAGAATCTCTCATAATTTCAACGAAACTCGTTCCTCTTTATGTTAAATTTTTATTCACTATTACAATTTTTCACAGCCTAGTGTGGTACAACTACAGTGATGCTGAAATATTTGCAAAACTCCGAACCGCAGGTGTCTGTGGTGCGGATCGAACCCGCTACTATCCTTTACGAGGACTAACGTGCTCACCGTAGTACCATGCGGATCCTTCGTTTCTCTTTTCTCTCAGCTAGTTTTCTACCTACCTAGCAGTACTATCAGCAATCACCCATCAATGGGATTGGTCTAAGAAGCACAAATGCTCTTGTTTGGTTGTATTTCCTCATTATGTTATTCTAACTTATTAAGGCCCCTACATTATTTATAAAGCTCGAACTGTTGAACCAATAAAACGCTTGCGCGGCAGATCAACAGAAGGCCCAAGATCGAATTAGCCGAAATAGTAAGTTGAAATAAAAATTTTTAGTAACTCCCAAGCCCGAGCCAAACACCTCCATAACCAAACAGAGAAAATGCTGAACCGAAATTTCAATCACATTGAACACAGTCTTTGCACACTGACCACTTTCTATGAGCCTTCCACTAAATATGTTACGTGGAGACCAACCGCGCAGAGTTCACATGGAATCGTATTATGCCCATCGCCATGAAAATAACAGGCTTATACACTGCCCAATATCACACGTGATAATGAGGCATTCCTCTCTGCGGTTCATTTTCGGATTCTTGGAATTAATCCAGAATGCCTCTAGAATTTAACGCGCTTGTGTTCTGATTCTTGGGCGAGGATCGTAACCCTTATTTCAAAATCTTCTCAATTATGTCTCTGCGTCCTATGCGTGCCTAGTGGAGTATTTGGCTTACGTTTGCTGACTAGGTGTTCTTTTATACGTGCGCAGAGTGGTCTACCCGTTTCGCCAACGTATTCGTCCCCGCACGCTTTACGAGAGATCAGATAGACTGTACCCGAACTCATGCAGTCACCATCTCTACCATTAGGGCAAGTAGTGCAATTTTGCGTTGCACATACACGGTCATATAGGCGGCCACGAACTAGCTGCCGTCTTAGATTACTCGGTGGTGTTTCAATTATCGTTACCGAATTCTCTAGACAGGCCCTTCTTAAACAGCGTTTTATAGCTGCACTTACTTCATTTGAAATGAAGGGCAGTATGAACGGGACCTTATTGTCGCTAGAGCTATTGTTGGGATACCTATGGTTTCCTCTACATCCATCTCGAGCTACAGTTTCGTAGCCATTGAAAATGGCTATTTGCCGTGCCAAGTTCCGGGACTCCTCTCTCTGCTGTCCTCCTGTGCACACGCTGGTAGCTGTTCGAAGTATGTTTCTCACAAGCGGCCTTTTCGTGTGAGAGGCGTGAGTGGAGAGGTAATGAACCAAGATTTTTTTACTACTTGGCTTTCGATACCATTTCGTAATGTAGCCGTTTTCTGACAAGCTAATTTGCATGTTCAGGAATGGAAGCTATTCTTCTTTCGGTTTCTCTCGGGTGAACTTGATATACTCTGTTAATTCAACAACTCGAAACATTTGTCCATTTCCTCTTGCGTTGAGCAAAGGACGAAGCAGTCATCGCGTTAAATTCTAGAGGCATTCTGGATTAATTCCATGAATCCGAAAATGAACCGCAAGGAGGAATGCCTCATTATCACGCGTGATATAGGGCAGTATATAAGCCTGTTATTTTAATGAGATGGGCACAATACGATTCCGTGTGAACTCTGTGCGGTTGGTCTCCACGTGACATATTTAGTGGAAGACTCATAGAAAGCGGTGGTGTGCAAAGACTCTGTGTTCAATGTGATTGAAATTTTGGTTCAGCATTTTCTTTGTTTGGTTATGGAGGTGCCTGGCCGTTTGGATTGTAGCCAACTCGACCTTTCCAGGCTCTGAAAAAGGCGAAGTCCGCCGAAACGTCAGCTTGTATGTAAATAAAGAAATTAAGTAATACCACGTGTTTGCTGAACAGAAGTAGAAAAAAAATCTTTAGGCTTTGAAGACCTTTGCCTGAAGGTTGTGAGGTCCTTTTCCACTAAGCTAAAGAACGCCCCGGATCCACAGAAACTAATCTTCATATTTTCTTTGTCAAAGCTCCTGTTTCAAATAGCGAAGTGATTGAGCAATCCGAATCTAGGAGAACAGTGCACAATGGTATCTCCCAGGGTACAGTTGACGTTCTCCGCCGGTGCTTTTGTGTTAAGAAATTTTTTAAATTTTTTATTATTGTTTTCATAAGACCCGTCCCCACGTCTACTGTGCGGATTCCAGCACTCTCCACATTCGATTCGTTTCATCACATCCACTATATATACATGTGGCTTCGATTGCTGCTTGAAAATTTTCATTTCATCTCGGATGTCGTAGAATGCTAGTCGAGCTATTCTCCCTGGAGTCCCGAGATAGCCGTGCTGGAGCGTTCCCTCCTGGATTGCAGAGAGCGATTTCTTCTCAGGTAAGTCTGGTGCTGATTCCCCGACGCCAGAGAGCTGAGAGGCTTGGTTGGCCTGTAGAGAAATCCAGCTAGAATCATGTTCGTGACGAAAGACATCACTACCACTGCGTTGTCTGTCCCCTGTGTTAAGAAATGTAGAAATGTGAAACACGTTTTCAATTTTTCATGAATTTAAATCTTAAACAGATTTAACATCGAAGACCGCTTAAAAAAATCATTTATACCCGTAGGGCAACAATGCAAAGTTCCCTCTACAAATCTGTGGAGCTGTCAAATTTACATTTCACCAAATTAACAGTAAAATTTCCATTTTGAGCACTTAAATAACAAAAAAGAAACTGTGATACACTATGCATGACTTTGTCAATTCCAAACAACTTCATTTGTCTCCGTCAGAATAATCACTGTGATGAAGCAGACGTAGACGAGGACCAACAAGTAGGCGTGTGGTCGTCGTAAGTGGAATCGCTGCACAAAAATTGCTGTAAGAATAAGCAACGTTTCAAACGAAGGAGAAGAAAGAAAAAGCGAAAGAAGAAACAAATGAAAGTATGATCCCGAAGTGATCGTCAAAAATCAGAGAGTATTTAAGTGTCAGTAGATTCCAGAAAGCATCAAGACTTTCTGAGGAATCGAGGGTTTTCCCGCTATTTGTCAGATCCTAGAGTTTTCACTTTACTGTTTCCTGCTTAACTTGTTTTGAAACTCATTGTATTGTAATCTGGTGCCATTCGATGACTCAAGGTACGACTCTCAGGCGATCCTTACAAAATCGTTAGCTGTCGTAGGATTTCTCACAGTTTTAAAGTAGTCAAGAGGCAGTTCTGCCTATTGACTATTAACTAGGTAACTTCTTCACGGCTTATTACTCAAAAAAATCATTGATAGTTACAATCTAGATTATAGGGAGCGGGATGTGGTAGCTGACGGTACTGTGTAATCAGAAATGCATGGCGATCCTTCGACCACAACTTAGGACTATGTAGCCTCCTATCCCTCAGTTGTCAGAAAATCGCTACCAGGGTTGTCTGAGAAATGTTCCGTTCGATCCGCAAAGGTCAATGACTGGCCATGATGAAATCGTGGGAATGCTTTAATAGTCCTAGGATTTCTGTCTATGGACTGTATTCCATCCTGTATAAAAGAGCATTGCCGAGTGTAATAGACCGGTGCTCCACCGAAGAAGATCCATCTCGGCATAACGACGATGCCAGAATTGTGGTATCCCAGAATTTCACATAGTATTAGTTCGATCAGCACTGAATCATATTCACGAAGAAGAGGAAGACCTTAAGGAGGGAGCAGAACCCATACGCAGAATTCGGCTGCCTTCATGGATGACGGATAAAGCTAAAAAAGCTCTCGGCGTTGGTCAATCCCTGAGGGATGCGCCATGTATTCGACTTCATTAAGTATCGTTGGAGGTAATTGAATGCATACTTGGCCTTTACAATGACTCGAGGTGGCCTACTGATGTATTGAGCCAGTGCTGCTATCCCTCAGACAAGTCTGGTACCAATTTACCGATCCCGGAAGGATGAAAGGTTTGGTGGGCCATGGGCGCGAGGATCGAATCCACGTGTGTGTCGCAGTGGAGCCTCCAACCACTGCGGATGACGAATACAAAACAACAAATTGAATGGAGGAAATACTGGGATCAGCACCACACGTGTCATCCAGTCATATGCATAGATGAAGTGGGAAAAATAAAATATCTCAGTTACTGTGTCGTTTTCTTGTTCAGCACTCGCGTGGTTTTTAAACAGCATACATTTACTTCCATAGAGAAACACAATACAATACAACACTAGCTGACGTTTCGGCAGTAACACCTTCTTTAGAGCCTGGAAGGGTATACTGATATGCAATCTACTAGGCCAAACGCTTCAATACCACTTACAAAAAGACGAAAAACTCTATGGTAATTACATGATCAACACATGTTTTGAACAGCCACCTCTGTGTGCACTACCAGGGAACTAAAGGAAGAATCGCGCGACTTGGCTCGGCAAATAGCCATCTCCAATGGCTACGAAATAGTAACCCCACGAGATAAGTTTGGAAGGAGAGCGACGCGCCCAAGCGAAACACTTGGGCAAAAGGAAACCCCGTTTACGTTGCCTTTTATAAGCGATGAAGTAAGCGTAGCTATAAAACGATGCTTAAGAAGGGCAGGTTTAGAGGAATCGGTAGCGATAGTTGAAATACCACCGGCTAATCTACGTCGTCAATTAGTTCGTAACCGCCTGCATGACCGTTTATGTGAAACAACAAATTTCATAATTTGCCCTTACGGCAGGGACCGTGATTGCATGAGTTCAGGTACGATATACCTGATCTCTTGTAATAATTGCGGAGATGAGTATATTGGCGAAACGGGCAGACCTTTGCGCATCCGTATAAAAGAGCACCTAGATGGCAAACGAAAACTAAGACAAAGTACACCACTAGGCACGCATAGGATACAAAAGCATAGCGGAGACGATTTTGAAGTAAAAGTCAATATCCTTGCACAGGAGAGTAAAACACCAGCGCGAAAACTTCTTGAGGCTTTTTGGATAAATGCCAAAAACCCTACAATGAATAGCAGGGAGGACTGCCCAGAGGTCATACGCGACCTGACCCCGTGTGTTCGCATCGATTTTTGATGTGGGGTGGTGCAGGCATCAACTATATGCGGCTATAATCAGCTGTTCTAAACTTCCTCATTGGAAGTCACGTAAAAAGCGATGGGTTTTTCGAGAAGCTGTGGTTGTATTGTGTTTCTCTATGGAAGTAAGTGTATGTTGTTTAAAAACCACGCGAGTGCTGAACAAGAAAACGACGCATTCATATTCCAATGCCGAGGTTAATAGAAAGTCGATCCTGGAAACTATCTCAGTTACTGTGTTCAGAAATATTACTGATGATTTCAGGAGCTCATGCAATGCTACACTACGACCGTGAAAAGTCTAAAATGAAGAGGAAATGCAAAAGCGTGTCATTTCATGATGGTATTACGCACCTCCAGAGTTCCCTCCTTGGACAGAAGTTACTGCTATACAATTTTGGAAAGGAGTCACTTAGCCGCTAAGAATGATCGAATTCAAAAAAAAAAACAAAAAATTACAAGAATTACTGCTTGCGTCTTGTTCATTTGGAGGAAACTGTCTTCCTACAGTATCGCTAATCGCTGAAGATTTTTAAAAAATAAGCAAATAAAATGAAAAAATCAGTCAGTGGGTATGAAAAGTTTGGAGACAGGAGAATAGAAGCAAGAGAACGCGTCTCCACATACCTGCTAGGTTCGTTAGAAGAGATATTCCAAGAAACAGTATCAATATTTTGTACGTTGGATTCAAACTGATCTGAAAGAATGGAAATTGGAACTAGTCTGATATAAAATAAAGGCACACAAAACGTAACAATATTTCAAAACCGACTTTCCTTTAACCTCGGTATGAGAAATCAATACGCATTCTTTCTTTGTTAAGCTTACACGATTTTGATAAATAATGTTTATTCTCGGCTAACGTCTCGACGGTTTCGTCTTCATTAGAGCCGATGATCTGAGTCGAGAGATTTCGAGAGAAATGCTCCACTGAGGAACCTGCTCGATGTGCGACGAACACACCACCACGAAAACACGAACAACTATGGACTGTCGACTCGGATCGTGGGCTGTGAAGAAATCATCGAAACGTTAACCGAGAATAGCATCATTTATCAGCCTCGTGTAAGCTTATCAAGGAAAGAATACATAAAGGCACACAGTTTTGTACTCACAGTTACTGTTTTTCCATTCACAATCGCGATCACAAACGGAACGCCAAAGCCAACAAGAAGGTCTGCAATACCTAGTGGTTGTTAATCAGAACCAAAAAAAGTAACACTGGAAGCAAAAATAAAGACTTACTGAATAATGGACCGCCGACGGCTGCCACCATGGCCATACGAGGATAGCCCTGCTTGACTACGGAGATATCGGCGATAAGGTCGCCGATGCTGTTGCTCCATGCGAGTATCGTAAGGCCCAAAACCTGAACTACTACTTACTAAGGGATGTAAAGAGAGTGCGGAGTTTCTACCTAGGCGTTGTCCGTTCTATAGCCAACAGCAAAAACCGATTGACGTGTATTCCGTTAGTGTCTGTGAGGTGTTTGAGTACATATATCAGCTGTGATTCCACATAATCTATTTCATTTCTTCTTGAAAAAAAACTTCATCGACTCGTAGATACCTCTTTCTGGAGACTCATAGATACCATGACCTGTATCACCTGCAGTCCCGTTGATGGTCGAGTGACTGGAGCGGGCGCCAGTAAATCTTCCATTTCTCCCTGTCGCGTACAAGAGTAGCCCAGTGGGTTCTGCTTGCTCTAGGGATTCGAGAGAGCATCATATCTTTCTTCTAGGCTTTTCGTAAAAAACTCTGACCATCGGGTAGGTGGTCTTCCTGCAGTACGTTTGACATCCCGAAGAATCGAGCCACTAACGGCTCTTGTCCATCGGTTGTCGTTCATACGCATTACGTGTCCGGCCCACCTTATCTTCGACTGTTAGGCGTACAGAACGGCATCTTCGATTTTTGATCGTTGACGCAGGTCAGAGCTTCGGATCCCTTCCCTTGCTTTTGTGTGACGGCATGGTCCTTTCGACCACGTGTTCTACAACGCTGAGTGATCTTTCATCCTGCTTAAGCAGCGACAGGGTTTCTGACGCATACGTTAGCGCAGGAACTGCCGTCGAGTCGAAAGGGTGCGCACGGAGTTGGGTGTTCTTTGTCCTCTTCAATCCATCCTCGATGCTCTTGAAAGCTCTCCAAGCCGCTCCTTTCTTTCTGCTCAACTCTGGAGCTAAGTCGTTCAACATGTTGAGTTCCCGACCTTGATAGATGTAACCGGAGCGTTCGGAGATATTTGTTCCGTTGAGCGTGAATGGATCATACGAAATCAATCCGTTCATAGATACCATAGATACAGTTTTCATTGCATTGGTCACACAACAAATAAACTGCTCGGTAAAAACGGAAGGTTCAAAAAACAATTGACACTGCACGAGTAGAGTGCACCAGTGTTCGTCAATTTCAGCCAAACGTTACCATTCAAATTTTTTATCCTCTAGGATTTGGCGAAAGCCTCGCAACGGTTTGTCGTCTCATCGTGGGTAGAAAGTGTTCTGGATGACAGGCTGCCATGTACAGCGGAGATTCGCTCCCGACCACCCCTCCTTAGCATGGCCTCCCAAGCTGAGAACAAGTCCGACGCTGGTGGCCACAAATTACACATGGTTCTCGCAACCAAAATAACATCTTACCTTTAGAAAGAAAAAAACACAGATCAGTGAACCTCGTGCACTGTCATTCTGCCCAAGAAGCGCGACCGAAGAAATTTTCGTAACTATCGCCCAGTATGCTCATTGAGTGGACTCTATCTACTCTTCACAAAGGTTAATCCATCACGCACACCGAAGACCTCGGGTGAGGCACAAACAGTTGCGCAAGTAGGATTCCGATATGGATTCCACTAAATGAATCACATCAAAACCACAAAACAGGTTATAGAGGTTTGTTGGGAGTATCATGTGCCTCTTGTCCTAACCTTAATCGACTACGAACGAAGAAGCGTTTGACAGCGTCGAAACGAAAGCAATCCTATCAGGGCTTGTCGACTAGTGAGTGGACCATAGCTACAAACAAATAGTATCACACTGTTATCGGAACTGCAGCTCACCTATGCGAGTTCTTCATCGACCCTTAACCATATCCATAGAAGGGTTCGATAAGGCGACACAATGTCGCCAATACTGTTAAATGCCACACTGCAGTGGACAATGTGTTTACTTGACTGCGACGAAAAGGGCATACGTAATGAAGGAAAATTCCTATCAAATCTTCGTTTCCTGGAAGACAACGTCAGCTTTTCGCCCAGTAGTAGCAAAGCAGAGACGATGCCAAAGAACTCAGCGAAACCAGAAAAAAGACTGGAATATGAACAAATAAAACGTGGACCCAATTCATGAAGAACCCACGGTGCGAGGTTAAAAAATCGAATTGGATGGTTCCTCGATCATAGAAACCACCAAGAGAAACTAAATTGAAGGAGAGCAGAATGGACCGCACTTGGGTCACTCAAAGAAGACACCAACCAACTAACGGACCGAAAACACCATACCGATTTTTTCGATTTAGCAGTTTTCCCAGCGCTCTGCTAAGCAACAGAAACGTGAGCAGATACTTCAACTACGTCAAGAAATCTGCTCACCACCGACAGAGAGTTTGAACGATGTGTTCTAAAATTTAACCGATACTCACAACGTCTGGACGGAATGTGCAGCTCAGATCTATTACATCTTTGGAATGCAGGAGAATATATATCAATAGCGAAGCACAGATTGGCCGGTCACATAATAAGAAGAATAGATGACAGAGGGACGAAAAGAGCAGTAGAGTGGAGTCTAAGAGGACACAAGAGTCTTCTTGACAGACCACCTAAGCGATACGAGAACGTATTCGTGGCTAGCGTCAACCATCTGCATTCGCAGATGGCAGTGATCTCAGGATTACGAAATGGGCGCCGCCGGCGTTTCCATGTTCGAAGCTGAGCACCACCATGAACAACGATTGCGCGGTAAAGAACGAATGGAGAATATGCTGGGTCCAGCACAACTACTGAAGATGGGTCATTTAAGTATCCATTCAAGTACTTGGCGAAAATAGAAAAGTATTAGTGCTTTTTGTCTTCAGCTGTCTATCAACACTCACTAACATAAATAATTGAACATCACTGGTTAACTCCCACAACCGACTTTCTATTAACCTCGGCATTGATCAAGTAATTCTTCGCATTTTTGTTGAGCAAACACTCGAGGTGTTATTATTCTTTATTCACGAATAAGCTGACGTTTCGGCGGCTTTCGCCTTCCTCAGAGCCTGGAAAGGTCAAATTGATAGCAATCTACTAGGCCAGACGCCTCCATAACCAAACAAAGAAACTCTAAACCAAGATTTCAATCACATTGAACACAGCTTTGCACACTCACCGCTTTCTATGAGGTCTCCACTAAGTATGTCACGTAGAGACCAACCGCACAAAAATCACATGGAAGCATAATGTGCCCCTCTCATCAGAATAGCAGTCTTATATACTGCTCTATATCACGCGTGATAATGAGGCATTCTTCCCTGCGGTTCGATTTCTGGAATTAATCCAGAGTGCCTCGAGAGTTTTTCGCGCCTGTGTTCTTGATTCGCGTGCGAGGATCGTGACACATACCTCAAAGTTCTCCCCGTTATATCTCTGGGTCCTATGCGTGCCTAGCAGGGTATTTGGTCTATGTTTGCTGACTAGGTGTTCTTTTATGCGGACACAGAGGGGTCTGCCTGTTTCGCCAATGTATTCGTCTCCGCACGTCTTACAGGAGATCAGATAAACTATACCCGAGCTCATGGAATCACCGTCTCTACCACTGGGGCAAATTATGCAATTTTGCGTTGCACATAGGCGGTCACATAGGCGGTTACGAACTAGCTGGCGCCTAAGATTACTCGGTGGTATTTCAACTACGCTTACCGAATTCTCTAAGCCCGCCTTTCTTAAGCAGCGTTTTGTAGCTGTACTTATGTCATTTGGGATGAAGGGTAGGATAAACGGGACCCTTCTATCGCTAGAGTTGTCGTTTGGAGGCCTACGATTTCCTCTACACCTATCCTGAGCTACAGTTTCGTAGCCATTAGAAACGGCTATTTGTCGTACCAAGTTCCGGGACTCCTCTCTCTGCTTTCTTCCATTACCACTTTGTAATGTAGCCATTTTCTGATAGGTGAATTTGTACGTTCAGAAATGGAAGCCATTTTTTTTCGGCTCTTCTCGGGTGAACTTGATAAACTCTGACTGTGCGTTTAACAATTTGAGACATTTGTCCATTTCCTCTTGTGTTGAGCAAAGAACAAAGCAGTCGTCTACATACCTACAGTGGAGTAGCGGCCCGAGATCAGTCACCGATGTTTCCACCTTAGACATAAATGCAATGGCAAGGCTTGGAGCCAGTCGTTGTCCTATTGCCAACCCTCTTATTTGAGCGTAGTACTTTCCAGACCATCTGAAGATTGAGCAGCTCAAATATTCTTTTAAGAGAGCCATCAAGTGCTCTACCTTGAAGCCATACATGTTCATTTTTCCTTCGTGTTGTATAAGGAGTTCGAATATGGCTTGCATTGCGGAGTCATTCGACACGTTTGCATAAAGGGCGGTAACGTCGAAGGACTCCATCACGCACGCGCTGTTGGGCTGCGCAGTACGTAGGCGATCCAGAAACATCTGGATATTCGTAAGATGGGCTGGAATGTGTTTCAACAACTGGTTAAATATTAGGGTTAAAAACCATGTTATCCTGTCCGTTGGCCCGTCTACACAGCTAATGATAGGTCTAACCTTAAATAGTGATGGATCGGTAGACGGAAGATCATCGCTGGATACTAACTTATGAGTTTTTATAAGTAAGTACAAGACGGGGCATGTTGGTAAGTCAACTTTAAGTTGAGAGATAACTGATGATTTTAAACCAGCAGCCCATCCCATTTTGGCCCATTCGTGGTTTAGTTTTCGGTATTTACTTTTGAATTCCTCCTCAGATGATGAGCGATAAAGCGAAGCATCTTCAAGATGCTTTTTCGTTATCTCCACATTTAACTGATGACGAATTACGACAAACTCTCCACCCTTATCACTAACGGATAGTCTTATGGTTTTCAACCTTATCAGCTCTCTTACCTCTCGCATACCACGTTTTTGCACTGGAGTGAGGTTTGAGCTGTATCTTTTCGCGCGATAGTGATTAAGGACTTTGAGAGTTTCATTCGTAAACACCCGAAATTTAACATCAACTTCATTATTGGGCTCCTGTTGTCTAAAGAAGCAGATGAAGTCTGGCCGAGTAGATTGCTATCAACTTGACCTCTCCAGGCTATGAGGAAGGCGAAATCCGCCGAAACGTCAGCTTATTCGTGAATAAGGAATAATAACACCTCGCATTTGCTCAACAATAATCCGAAGAATCACTGCTTAACTTGTTTTATTTTGTCATTACTGATTATGTTATTTGTACTTGACACTTGATACTTGAATGGCCCGTCTTCGATAGCTGTGCGGGCCGCAGAAAATTTCCACTTCTTCGGAGTTTTGCTAGTTTAGCCATTGTGGTTCCCTGGAGTCCTAAAGTTAGGCGGGCCAAAGTCTGCCCCAGTTCGTCTCCAATCCAGGCAATTGCCGTCCTTTTGGATCAGAGGGAGATTTTCCACCACGCGACTACTATGGTACCAGGACGGTGGTGGATCCTGGTATTGGTATAATATTAGCTCGGCCTCTTGATGAAAACGCCGGACTCCTTCTCAGCTTGTGAGGCTCTGCTGAGAGGATGCGTCCCGCTGTACATTGCAGCCCAACACACAGGAACACCTCCAAGCCATGATGAGGCGGTAAACCATGGGAGGTATGTTATTTATAACTTTTTTAATTCGCCAAGAACCTTAAGTAGATTTGAAAAAGGATGCGGTTCATCGAATACGGGCTTTCTTGGTGTAAGAGTTAAAACAAATAAAAATAAAATCACTTAGGATTCCTGGTGTACGAAAATATATCCGCAGACTATATACCACAACGAAAGAGAAACTAACCTCATGTGAAAGCTGTGAGACAACACCAAACATGGTGACCACGTTCACAACTTCAGAAGAGATGAAGTAAATCCACGAGAGGGACATGATGAATCCGAAGTAAGACACAACTTCCTAAAAACTCTTTGTTCGCTAGGTATATTAAGAGAGAAACTTTTTTATATTAGCCTATATTCAGATCATCCGTGCAACTTAAGAACGGGGAAACCATTTGATACACAGTGTCATTTTCGAACAGTTTTTAAAGGAAAGCAAAAAATTCTTCGACTATGACACTAAAAGGAGTAAAAGCGTTAGTTCTCCCTTCGGAACAGCAATATATTTTCAACAGTCGAGAATTTTGCAACACTGACCACAGGCAGGATTGCATGCCAACATACAAAAACCTTACCGGCAATAACCTTCAACGCACTGGTCCGAATCTTCACCCGTTACCTGCTAGAGTATAAAGCTTCTACGCAGAGAAAGAATGTTGAATTCTCCAACCTATTGCAGCAATCAAAGACGAGAGATGACGGTATATAAGCCAAAATGCCAAAGATCATGTGAACCCACCGCCTTAGGTGTCATAACCAGAACCAGTGGCGAACAGGCCTTAGTGAATTGCTCACACATGATATCCAATGCATAGCAGAAAAACCATTGACCCAATGGTCACAATTTTTCTTATGGAGGATGTCGTGCGATGCATGTGTGGTACTTGGTTTGACCCTGCTCTGCGCTGGCAAAGCCTCAGATTTTCTCGGGATTGGTAGATCGATATCAGACTTTTCCAGGAAAAACTTTAGATCCACAAAGCTCTGTGACGGCTATGATGAATACCTGGCAACGTTGAAATAGAGCTATAGCCAGACTGCAAAGAGAATTAACTCGAATAGTATTCATCAACAGTAAAGAATGAGAAGAAAGGCTAGAGGAAATTCTATACGCACAAATTCGAAGACCTTCGTAGAAGACGGATACCAGACAACGAACAAATTGGAAGAAGATATATAACATGTTCTCTGAAATAAGAAAAACATTGTCTATCTTTTATCGCTAAATGGTAATGCTTATGCTACTTCGATTAGGCACAACTGATTCTTTGGCGTGTTCTGGCCATTCCACACCCCTACCTATCTTCATCCACCTGGAGCAATGTTAAGTTTACATGACATATCATTTCTAAAATAATCTTTACCGCCAGTCACACCTACAGACTGTCAACCCATTTCTGTAGCACCGCGCTGCGCTTGCACCCAATTATAGCTCTTATTGTGTTTGTAGAAAGCATCGTTTATTCCTCATAATAATTTTCACAGATTTATTGCGTAAATCTTTCCAACACCGTTGTTCTGACTCCTCATTTATATTATTTCTACATATGAACCTTGTTCCATTTGTTACACATCTATATTTTGTATGTAGATTTATTGAACTCCCTAAGCCCTCGCTGCCCCAACAATATTGTTTAGACAGAAGTTCGACTATCCATATTTAAGTATTGATGCAAGTGCAACTCATTGAAAACTTTAAGACCAGCTTAGCCCACGAACACAATCATCGCGCCTACAAAATTACTTACGCTCCTTCTCTTCACCATAAATTTGGCGGAATCTCCACTGTGTGTGAAAGTAGGTTGAAAGAGGACACATGATTCTACAATGTGTAAGAAGAACTTAGCACTTCTTTCCTAAGCAGAAGTACAACACTTTAGCGCATAACCTTTTAGAAAAAATGATATTTTCCTTAGTTTTGAAAATTTCCGTGATCTCACTAGCCCATCGCGATTTTGTGTTAGTCTAAACGCACCTTATAGTACCTCGGTTGAGTCATCACTGATGTGAAAAACCCTAGCAACACCACCATTACGAACGACAGCGCCAATCCGTAGACGTATAGGGCAGGACTGCTATCGAATGGCACCACCGTTGTCACTTAAGCAGGCTGTTTGCTTTAATAAAAAGTCAGCTTCCTGACTGTATTATTTAACCATGTTGTAAGTAAGAAGTGTACACTGAAGAGATGACGGTTTCCGATGATTAGGAAATAGAAACAAAAAGTGTTAATTGTGAGAAAAGATCGCAGAGGTTTTAGAGTATAACATTTACACCATTTGTGGAAAGCTGTGAGAACGCGAGGAGGTGAGGGCTTCTAAGATTTGCTGGAGAAACTTAGCCCTCAATAGCCGTAAGGCTATACAATTAAAATGTTTAAGATGACTAAGCGAATTTCAATCCTTCAAACTGAGAAACAACTACGTGTGATAGATTGAAGAAGTTCTTCCGAATAGCACAAAGTTGCTGTAAGAATTATGGAGGTGGTAGTAATTCTCAATGTCCGACTCACTTTGAAAGGCGAATAGAAACCATTGAGGAGCGACGATAGCCTGTATAACTGCAACGGCCTTCGACCAACTGCATTCATTGGGTGGAATGGTCAACTTGAACACGAACATCGCCGGCATCTGAAAGCAAGACGCTGGCAGGTTTCCGGTTCCGAATTTCTAGAAAGGTCTCGAGAAGCACACTGGAGAACACTTCATCTTTTCGTATTCAACATTAAAGCGGTGTTTTTCAGGAATACTTCACCCTTTCGTGAATGGCCTACCCTTCCTAATTACTGCTGAAATTCCAGCAAGATTTCATGAGTTAATTTCAGAGGGCGTAATGTTTCAACTTGTGGTTTCAACATAGGAATTTTTATTATTACTCCTTCTGGATAATTTGTAGCAGGCGTTTCTGGCGAATTAGATCTTGGATGAGCACAACAATATAGAAGAATAAAAGCTCAAAACCGACTTTCCTTTAACCTCAGTATTACTAATCAACATGTATTCTTTTTATGATAAGCTTACACGAGGTCGATAAATAGTTTCTATTGGGCTAACGTTTCAACGTTGGCAAATTGGTACCAAACCTGTCTGGGAGGATAGCAGCACTGGCTCGATACATCGGCAGACCAATGCGAGTTATTGTAAAGGCCAGATATGCATTCCTTCACCTCCAAACGATGCTTAACGAAGTAGAATGCATGGCGCATCCCTCAGAGAGATCAACGCCGACAGCTTCATCCTTTTTATCCTTTTTACCGATTATTTGCTTAGTATACGAAATAATAAAACAGCTGGTAGTGATTGATATGGATCTCAATAAGGATTTCAGAAGACTTCTGTTGCTGTTCGCCATCGTCAGAATGATCTATGGATTGAGGCTATACATAGACAGATTGTTTTTTTACACATTGAAAGGCATCAAGTGAACGGTGAACAAAACAGTGAACGGCATTTCTACAGCGGAAAACGAAAAAACGATTGTATATTATCTATTGATATAACATAGCTAGAAAAGCAGTAAATACTCATAGGAATTCACAACCAATAGGGAAAATTCTTTTGTCCATTGATATCTGTTTTCAAATCTCTATGGCACACCCCTTATCATGAGTAGGGACTTCTTTCGGGTAGTAAAATGTGACCTATAGCCGAGATTCTTGGCCCCGTGAAGCTATCCCAACGCTCTGAAGCCCATACGAGAACGGTAAAAACTACGTTGATCTTTTTAGAATCTCAATCCCATGATACTGAACTTCTAATCAACGAAGGACAACGACTTCTTGTAGTTCCCTCACACCACTATCTCTATAGAGAATATTTATCGTAAAATATTCTCTAACTTCCACTTTAACTTCTTTTGTATTAACATGTATTTGTAGTCTTTACCCTGCCATTTAAGCTATTGTATCATAAATTGTTTCACATAACGTCCACGTGCCTGGCCTACACTAATACTAACCATCAGCTACGCAACCGGTCACGGCAACTTTGCTTGGAGACCTGACCCAGCGACCTTTGGCATTCATTTTGATGTAGTCATGCCCAGTTTGGATGTAGCGCGTGTGTGAACGGTTTAGTTACACAAGTTTGAGGTTTGGCAAGTTGTTACAGATCAAGAAGACCTATGCAGCAGAACTATTATCGCAAATCACGCAACGAACTCTTCATTATAATGTCGGCATTTGTGGAAGCAAATATTAGGTTTTCTCTAAGCAGCGTTCGCATTCTTGAAAATCCTGTATTCCATTCGTTGTCTAGAAGCTGTCATTAACTGATTTACTCCAGCTCGTATATTGGTCGGCTGCAGACTGAAGAAACATTGCCCCCCATACTCATTGTGCCGCTGACGGTACAGCGAGGTTTATCCTGGAGCTCCCAAGCAACGAATTGAGCTGTTCCAACGTCTGGGCGATTGCCACCCATTATTTATCGGAATGCTATCTTATGACTAGGATTTTCCAAGACGGCACTGATTCCGGCGACTACCGATAGTACATTAGTCAAAACAAGGAATTGTGCTAAGCTCATCGAAAGAAATAAAACTTTCCAAGCATTCCAGTGTCTGACATTACTTACCTTGACAATGCTCATTATTTTGTTGAACCATCTGAGCTCCTTCCAGTCGTCCGAAAGAGGGCGGAGATGTTCACAGATGTCGAAAATGAACATTCGTAGAGACACAATCTCGGTTGGAGGTGGCACTGGAGGAAGTGAGAACATGGTATTTTTGAACCACAAAAACGTGAAAACGTTTTAATGAAGGCAACCGTTTACCTATGCTTGTCGCTCTACTCCTTGCTTCAGGACCGGTATAGACGCGATGGCGCGAGACGACGAACTCCTCTTCTGATGGCTCTTCATTGTCACTATTGTCTTCTATTATATATATATATATATATATATATATATATATATATAATAGTTGGTACAAAGGTACCAAATTTAAGAGACTTAGGTTATATGAGAATTGAACATCCTGTAAATTTCCTGTACTAACGTAGAGTACTAGACGTTTTCTATGTTAAAAAAGAGTTGTCGCATTACCCATTTAATCTGCTAACTGTAAATCTCCAATTTATGATCTTTCAATTCATGATTAGGGAAGCGAAGAGGTATTGGTTAGAGGGGCTATGATAAACACGTGCCCTACGGATTGACTCCGCGCCTCGCGCTCGCAAAATCTTCTATATTTCAGGTGGTGGCGAATTAGTAGCAGATTTATTTTGGACGATATCAGCACTGATTTGGTACGTCCGTTGGACACAGTATATCGACGTATAGTTAAGATATGCACTCAATCTGCCCTAACCATGCTTGGTGAGATCGAATGTATGGCGTTTCCCTAAGGGATTGATCAACGTCAAGAGCTCTATCCTTTCAATTGCTTCAATTTATGGGGACTTACGATTTCCTAAATTCGAATGCCTTGCGTTGAAAACCTTGAACGTCTTCGTTTGTCTAATGGGCTAATCTTATCACATCCGCAAAAAACCTGGACGTTTATAGAACGCAAATCATAGTAGGGGATTAGCTAACGAGAGAGTAAAGTTTCACCTATCATATTATGAATATTTGCGGCATTCCCGAAAATTGGCACAACAAGTAAATGTCATTACAAAACAAGAAGTTGGACTGACGTTTGGTGTCTTCATCGACTGAAAAGCTCCTGACAATAGCAGCTGGAAAAATACGGAGTGCATCGACATTGAGGACAATTGAAGCCCTCTTTATCGGATCTTGCTGTACGTCCAAATCCGAGACCTCCTCACTTAGAGCGTTTAAAGCGTCTTAAAAAAATCTTAGCGGGAAAAAATACAGGTAACTGTTGCGTTTTGCCAAAAAGATTGGCCCAATTAT